AAAGGGAAAGGGAAAGAGAAAGGGACAAGTGAAGGACAAGATTCAAAAAGAGGCGTCGTGTGGAAGAGGAAGTCCGTAGGAAGGAAGCCTGATGTGGAGAGACCGGGGGGGGCCTGGCCTGTCTAATGAGCCGAGTCGGGGACTTGGGGGGAGGGGGAGAGGGGGGAGAGGGGAAGGGGGAGGAGGGTGGGGGGCTGGGAGTCGGGGAGTGTAGGTGGTCGTGGTGGTGGTCGTGGTCGTGGTGGTGGTCGTGGCCGTGGTGACTCGGGTGGTCGGCGTGGTCCTGGTGGTCGTGGTCCTGGTGGTCCTGGTGGTCGTGGTGACTCTGGTAAAGCCTGGTGAGCCTGCGCAGCCTGAGGAGAGAACGCCGGTCGGTAAGTTGCACTACTCAGAACGGGCCCCCCGTCCAGGTCCAGGATCCAGACCGGGGCCAGGGCCAGGACCAGGGCGAAAGCCAGGGCCAGGGCCGGGGCTAACCTCCTCTGACTTAGTACAAACCGACTACAACTTCTTACTGTACCAGTACGACGACGACAACCAACGTAAGCACGCGCCGTACTTAGTCCTGTACGGGAGCAGCAGCAGCAGCTCGCAGCCTGGAAAATAAAGTGCCGGGTCCTTGCTCCGTTCTATACTTATCGCAAAGTCTGTTTTGCTGGACAACGTGACCATGACTTCATGAGGGGCCGAAGCGAGATTGGGGAATACAACAACAGCAACAGCAGCAGCAGCAGCAGCAGCAGTCACAACCGCAATACCGCAATACCAATCAATAACAACAACAATAACAACAGCAGCAGGAATAACAATAGCAATAGTAACACCACCACCACCACCACATACGCTCGGACCAAGGGCGGTGCCTGAGCGAGCAGCTGTTGGCCGTACGCCCTGTCGGTGGTGGCACTGTCTCGGCGGGTGGTGGTGAGGTGGTAAGGCGGTAAGGTGGTAGGTACGGTAATAGGTGGTAGGTGGTAGGTGGTAGGTAGTAAGTAGTAAGGTGTCGTGATGGTGTATAGTACCGTAGTCGTAGTAGTCGTAGCAAGTACTGATGCTTACTTCCATTTGCTTTGATCCATCCACGGCCGTCGGAGGATCGACAAAGTATACTTACTCACTCTGGACTGGACTGGACGAGACGGGACTGGACTGGACGGGACGGGACTGGAAGTGCTGCACTGCACTCACTGCACTCACTGCACTCACTGCACTCACTGCACGGCACGACTGCACGGAGCAGGACGCTGGCTGGTGCCCCTGGTCCGTTCGTTGTTTTCCGTACCCTCAGATCCCTCCGAACCCCAAATCAGGTCGATGCTGCAGGCGCGGGGGGGGAAGGGGAAGGGGGCGTGGTTGCCCTCGCATACATGCCTGCTTCCCGTACTCCGTATACTGTGTAAGTAGTACGTACCTAGTTGTACATCATCCCCTCCATCCATCCCATCCATCCCATCCCATCCTCCCATCCCATCCCATCATATCCCATCCATGCATCATCCATCCATCCATCCATCCATCCATAAAAAGTACTTGCTGCATGTACTGTACAAGTACGTCGGACGTCGGACGTAGTACTACACTACTTACCACCTACACTGCGTACCGTACATGGCCTGGCAGCGCGGGATCGGGGATCGCTGCGCAGACAGCGAGCGCCTTCATGGTCGCCCGTCACTGGCTCGCCGCCGCGTCCAAGAGCTGGGGGGGTGGAGAAAGCCCCATGTCCCGAGTCCAAGGCTATCTAATCGCCTCCCGTGCCGTGATCTTCGTCTCCGAGCTACTGTATGATGGATGGCCCCCCCAACCCATCGGAGAAGAAAACAGCGGTGGCGAATGCTGCTCCCTTGCCGTCATGAGAAGCCAGCCGTCTCGGAGGAAATGTGTGCGCGAAGCACCCTCGGCCGGGAGAGAGAGAGAAGAGAAGAGAGAAGAGAGAAGAGAGAGAGAGAGAGAGAGAGAGAGAGAGACAGTCTTGTACGACGAACTTGGAGGCTTCGTCTCAACTCTATTTTTATGCCCTTCCCGGGATGTGTGTGCATATGCGGGCAGCGGGAACCCATCGTAGCCGTCCGTACCATGAATGCATAGACAGTATCAACAACAACAACAACAACATCCAAATCCCCAAGTACACCATGGTGATCTTGACATCAATCAGCATAGCGTCGTCTCGGCTGACCCCGTGACCGACTCCGTCGCGCATAGGATATCCGTCTCCCCCCTTTTTCCCCCCGACGCCGATCGGTGCGGTGAGAGAGGTGGGATGCGTTTCTCTTTCTTGGACTCAAGAATGAGGGCCCGCCCATTCATGACGAGCATCATGAGAGGTGCCATGAGGATGTGAGGATGGTCTCGTGCTCCCGCTGCGCCGCAGAGAGGTCTCACCCCCCTCACCCCCCCATCTCCACATATGTTTCCAAGGAGTCCGGGACAGCTACGGTAGGCGGGGAAGCCTCCCCAGGCCATCGTCCCCAGCAGCTGTCAGAGATGGAGTAGTAGATCGTAGATAGATTCAGCTGCTCCTCCTGTCTGCATCATCGCGACCAGGACCGCATTGGGGAGCATTCGGGAGGGAGGTAAGCCCGGTTGGGCAAGTTTATGGGCGAATCCATCTGACATGGACGCTGCATCCGCCGTCTGAGAATAAAGGTGCATACGGGAGTAGGTAGGTAGGTAGGTAGGTAGGTACAGTACAGTACAGTAGCAGCGCAGGTGTACCGTACCGTACCGTACCGTACCATGGTCGTCTAGCCGTCGGCCAATGGCGGCGGCTGGAGGCACCCATTGGAGGAGCGTCATGAGGTACGGACTGCATGTACTGTATGCTTCCACTTACGTACCGGGACTACTAGGTAGTAGTCCGTCGTCGTAGTACCGGTACGTACAGCAGCAGTACTGGTCAAACCCTCCTCAGCATGCATGGCACGCCTCTCTCTCTCTCGACCTTCGTGGTCGCTTCGTAGTACTAAAATCGTTCTAGCTCTAGTAGCTCTAGTAGTAGCTCTACTAGTAGCTTTTCCCCGGATATCCGTCGAGAGTTCGCGGCCATCGTTCGGCCGAACGGATCCCCGGGGTCGATCTCCCTTATTACGTAGTCGCTGATACGTAGTAGTAAGTACTACGTACGTACGTACGTACGTAGTAGTACGAAAGGTGCGGAAGTGCAAATTCAAATTCAAATCCCAACGCGACCGCGACCGTGACCGCGACCATGACCCCGACCGTGACCCCGACCCCAGATATGGTGGGGCACCCGAGAGTCCAGGGCAGAGCTCCTCCCGGGCGGGTCACCGCGGAGAGTTGAGACGAACGAGACGTGATCATGCAGTCGAGGGGAGGGGGGGTTGTTTATCTCGTATCTTCTTCCAATCAAATGCAGACTCTGATCTGATCTGACATCTTGGATGCGGATGCGGATGCGGGATGAGAGGAGGGCGAGGGCGAGGGCGAGGGCGAGGGCGAGGGTCCCCCTGGTCTGTGGGGTGCCCCGACACAGGCAAGGATGGTTGAAGCCCGCCACGGGGAGTGACGAGAGAGAGGGGAGGGGGGGGGGGGGCAACGAGCAACGAGAACTGATCGAAGTAACGGGGTGGGTGAAGTTGCAGAGGAACGCACGCAAGGGAAGCGAAACGAACGAACGAACGAACGAACGGGAAAGGCCCCAGGTAAGCTTTTCCCACTTGATATATATAGGAAGGGCCACCAGGTAGGTACGAGCATATCTGGTATCTGGCATCTGGGGATCTGGCACCGGGCGCATTCCTGAGCGCTCTTGCCTCGGCGCTGGCCTCGACTGTGGAATGCAGATGGTGCGCGCCTCCATATCGCTGGATACCGACGAAGGTGGGGGAGAGTGGAAAGATCACGGCTGGCACGCAGTCTACGTGGAAAGAAAGGAAGGAGGAGAAATTTTTTTTTTTAAAAAAAAAAAGGAAAAAAAAAAAAGGGAGAAAATAAGAAGAGACAAAAAGAAGAGAAGAGGAAGGAAAAATGAAGGAAGTAAAGCAGGAACGCGTGAGATGCCTACGTGATTTTGGATGCCCTTCCAAGTAAACAAAAGATCGCCCGCCTGGTTTCTCAAGTTACAGTTGCAGTAGTGGTATGTACCGGTAGTAGTATTATTATCGCCGCCACCGCCACCGCCGCCGCCGCCTTGACAGCACCCCGCGCCTACTCAGTACGGTAAAGAGGCCACTAGCGAGCCGTCCTGTGGAAAAGGGGTCTTCTTCGACCAGGCCGGGGCGGCGTGATGGGATATCGATCCCACAGTCACATCTCAGAGCCCTATCGTCGGTACCGGTACTGTAGATAGGGTCAGAGATCATCCTAACCTGGGATTCCTCATCTCGTCCAGAAATACAACCGACTACGGTACTCGGTATGTAAAAATATAAAAGTGTAACTAAAAAAAAAAAGAAAAAAAATAGAAAAAAAAAAAGCCTTGATGCATCACCGGCAGCGTGCGGGAAACGGGATGCGATTAAGGTTTACTTGCATTCTGCCCTGGGCGTCGTCTTGTTCGTTCCTGCATGCATACTGTATGGCGAACCCTGGAGCAGAAGCGAGATATAGTAAGTAGTTGTATAAGTAGTTGTTGTATAAGTGGCTGTATAAGTAGTTGTACTCTAAGTATACCGTATGCCCACGGGTGCATTTCTAATTCAGTACTCCCGTACGTCAATCGATTTATTTTCCAACGCTTCTCTCGTCGCCAGCCCTGCAAGGAACGGTTCTGCTTCCTGGAGGCATCGGCTCCGGAGCGAAGGCTCTCTCCGGACTCCTTCTCCTGATCTGCCTCCCTCAGCTCCTAATGCGAAACCGTCTTCGATTGACAGGTCCGTAATCTATGCCATACTGTACCATCACCGGCCATCATGTGTAGGCCAAGTCCCAAGTCCTGTAGGCCCGGTTCGAACTTCTCAAAGTTGTTCCGTACTTCCCGTACAGTACACACGCGCGCTTCATGTGTCGGGTGTCGGGTGTCGGGTGTCGCTCGTCGGTCGTCGTTAATCCTGATATATTTTTACATCTCCTGTACACAGCCTTATACTTGGCAAGAGACATTAACATCTCTCCCGAACAAGGGGCAATCTCGGTCGGCCGTCGCCCTTGGTCGGTAGATACGGAGTACCTACAACGTACAGTAGATGCGCCCTTCGACAATCTTACATGATACTTATAGTTGCATGTCCTTTACTTACAAACCGGGGCTGTTCGCGGCATTCCCGGCGGGGTCTACCAAGACCATATCCCCGGAACGTCCTAAGGACGCAGCAATCCGCGAACCGGTCTCGGTCTGTCTTCAAATTACGGAGTCCCGGCCATCTCGTGCACCGCTCGCTCGCTGCACGACCTCAGCTGCAGCGAGGAATTTGGAATAACGTGCACTCGAGCACCGCATACTCAAGCACCGCATCCTCGAGCAATGTACGAAGCGCGTAACCTCTCCGCATCGGAGAATTCACTGTCCACGTAACAACCGTATACACAAATAGAATAGAACTGTTGGGCCCGTGAGGTACAGGACCGTACCGTACCGTACCTTGGACAAATGAGCGGTTTCACCAACCAGCTCACAGCCACGGCGAACTTCAGTAGCACATTCGAAACCACCCAAGAAGAATATGCTCCGAGAGCCATGATTCATCCATTGTCCAAGCAAGTACAGGTAGACAGGAGTATACGGCTTGGCGTATTCGGACTTGAATATTCTTTGGTTGCATACCTATATGCCCATAGTTTTACACTGTCGGTAAGATAGATCTAATTGGCCATCAGCGCGTCTCTAAACTCCAATTGGACACCGTCCTCGCTAAAGTTGACCACCTTCACACTCTTGAGATCTCGTACGATCCAATCAGGCTTCGCAGCAACGACTTGCTCGACCGTATGGCTTGTGACAAGTCCCAGGACCTTGCAGCCAGCGGCTCTGCCAGCCAGAATGCCAGCAGGGCTATCCTCGAGAACAAGTACCTGGCTCGGGTCGGTAGCACCCAGCTTTTTCATACCCATCAAGTAGCACGCTGGATCTGGCTTGCCATTCTCGACGTCTTCAGCTACAACGAGGTTTTCGGGGACTGGGAGGTTGAGGACGCCGAGCCAGCCGGTGACGAGGGGAGTGGTACCAGAAGTGACGATTGCCCATGGAACGGAGGCTTGTTTGATTTGGGCGAGAAGATCACGAGCGCCGGGAATTTCCACCGCGTCATCACCGTACATCTTTGGGAGGAGCCCTTCCATGTGTTTGATGTCTGGAGGAGTGGAGAAGGTCAGCGAGGTGGTGAACTTATGGCTGGTACCTGTAGGTCAGACGGAAGTGAGAGGAGCGCTAAGCTTACACTCCCAGTTGGCTCGTTCAGGGCTCAAGACTTTCAGCGTGTCGATGGATCTTCGGCCATGAGACGTCTCAAGGATCACAGCTGGGTCGACTCCTATCTCCTTTCCGATGCTGTGGACCAATTTAAATGCATGTTAGTTGGGAGTGCGTCGAGAAACATGGACGGCGTAGATATAAGGGTTAGAGGTAGGGGTAGGGGGAGAGGGAGGGGGCCACTCTACATATTCCAATGTTTGACGACGGCATCCGTGGAGTCCTAGGATTGAGTCGATGAGCCACTCATGTCCGTATATAGATAATTACGAGGTGTCAATCGGACGAGCCTTCTCACTATGATTGTGCCGTCCCTACTAGTGGTTAATTCATGGTTCATGGTGTTTGGGTGCATATATGCATTTTCAAAGAATGGATGGCTTACTTACATGTCAAAGAGGAGACCTCCTTTAAAGAAAGTGCGCGTAGGAGGGGCACTGAACGAGTGAGATGTTGATGACATGGTCTCGTAGTAGAAGTTAAAGTGCTCAAAGTCAATACTGTAAGCGACAGGACGAAGGTGTTGAGATGGATGTTGCCAGCAGGTTCATGTGGTGTAGATAGATGTCGGAAGTAGGTCGGCACCTAAGTACTGCGTGTTTAAGCCGACGATGGCCGTTGGAAGTGGGGGTTGGGAGTGGGGTGGCGGTGGGGGTGGTGGTGTTGGTGGTGTTGGTGGTGGACATCAAAGCAACAGTTAGGTACTTACTTACAAGCTATTTACTTCTCAAAGTTTGGAAGTCGCTTTCTTCCCTTCCCATCTCTTCTCCAACTCCATTCCCTTCCCTCTTCCTCAAAACAAAATGGCAACAAAAGGTCTCGGTAACTTGCAATCGTTCTTACAATCTGCCAGACCTCGACATGTATATACTCCCACTTCGGCCCCCGCCCTACCTCGGTCCCTGTCACAATTAGCAGCTTTCAAGATCCCCCAGATCTCCAATGATCCCAATGTGAGTCTATCTGCGGCCTATCATTCCCCAATCTCCCCCAACTGACACAATCCCAGCACCACTATGCCAAAGGATCTGCACAACGCGCTGGTCTCAACGCCGCCCTGGAAAGCCTCCAGAAGCAGATACCGGTCGAGGTCCCGATTGTAGTCGGAGGCAAACAGGTTCGTTCGTAAGACGGCATACCTACTCTCGGCAGGTCTAACCAAAGCAGATCAAAACATCGACGGTTTCCGCCCAGCACAATCCGTCCAACCACTCCTCCACAATCGCCTCCTACTCGAATGCCTCCCCTTCAGACGTTTCCGCGGCAATCGATGCGGCTCTTGCAGCTCAGCCAGCATGGGAATCTCTGCCATTCGCCGATAGGGCCGCTGTATTCTTGAAGGCTGCAGATCTGGTCGCTGGAAAATACCGGTACGACATCATGTCTGCTACAATGCTTGGACAGGGCAAAAACGCATGGCAGGCTGAGATCGACTCGGCCGCGGAACTGGTCGACTTCCTGAGGTTCAATGTCAAGTTTGCGGAGGAAATCTATGCGCAACAACCAGCACACAACTCGCCAGGTGTATGGAACAGAGTAGAATACCGGCCTTTGGAAGGCTTCGTCTACGCCGTCACTCCCTTCAACTTTACAGCCATTGCTGGGAACTTGGTCGGTGCCCCGGCACTCATGGGCAACGTCGTCGTCTGGAAACCCTCAGATGGAGCCATTGCCTCGAGCTGGCTGCTCTACAACATCTTGCTTGAGGCTGGTCTCCCCAAGAACGTCATTCAATTTGTCCCCGGGAATCCAGAGGAGGTCACAAAGGTTGTCCTTGCCCACAAGAAGTTTGCTGCTCTCCACTTCACTGGTAGTACAGCCATCTTCAGGCAGCTGTACGGATCAATTGCCAGTGGTGTTGCCGAGGGAAAGTACCAAGGCTACCCCAGGATTGTCGGCGAGACTGGAGGAAAGAACTTCCATCTCATCCACCCTTCGGCGGATATCGAGAACGCGGCAGTGCAGACGGTTCGTGGAGCCTTTGAGTACCAAGGACAAAAGTGCAGTGCAACATCCAGAGTATATGTGCCCAAGTCAGTTTGGCCGCAGTTCAAGAAGCGTCTCGTTTCTGAGACATCTGCCCTTTCTGTTGGTACACCGATAGATCACAAGAATTTCATCGGACCTGTCATCCACGCCGCATCCTTCAACAAGCTTGCAGGCGTTATCGATGCCGCAAAATCCGACAAGGAGCTCGAACTGCTTGTCGGAGGTAGATGTGACAACTCGACGGGCTACTACATCCACCCAACCATCTACACAACGACGAATCCTCACCACCCTCTCCTCTCAACTGAGCTTTTCGGTCCTGTTCTTGCAGTACACGTCTACGATGATACTTCGGCGCCTACTGAGGCATTCCAGGCTATCTGCAAGCTCGTTGATAGGACGTCGGAGTATGGTCTTACTGGTTCCATCTTCGCTGCCGATCGAGAGGCTGTCCGCTATGCTGAGGATGCTTTGAGAAACTCGGCTGGAAACTTTTACATTAACTGTAAGAGCACTGGAGCTGTTGTTGGACAACAGCCCTTTGGTGGCGCCAGAGCTAGCGGTACGAATGACAAAGCTGGGAGCTCAAATATTTTGACACGCTTTGTGAGCATGAGGAGCATCAAGGAGGAATTCAACCCGACTCTCTCGGTAGCATATCCAAGTAATGAGGTTTGATTTGGGAAGTACACGGTTTCAACACACTTGTGGGCATCAGTATGGCAGATCATGTGAATGTACGCGTTGAGGAGGCGGAGAAGATACAGGGAATTGATACCCCGGTTTTGAGTAAATGATCATACACTGTTGAGAATGCGGAAGTAAATTGGGCCAAGTAGCTGCTCAGAAAATGGACACTCAAAAGAAGACTGATAAGATTATACAAGCTGCATTTTCTAAGGAAGACAATTGTGCCTTCTTTGCCGAGCTCCCTCTCCGACCTGGCTAGCGGGTCCACTTCCAACGACCGGGATTCCCAGATTCCAACAATATCATATTCTCCCAATTTCGTCTTCTCGTTCTGTTTCTTTTTCTTCTTTCACTGGAGAGGAACCCACTGGAGATCCTTCACCCTTCAAAATGAGAAAGGTTTTGAACAAAGCCAGGTCGGCATTCGACGAGCTCACTGACTCCCACTTTATTTCCCAGAAACCTCCTTCCCAAGCAGACCAACCTTCCACGATCGGACCTCCCAGCACCCAAGACCTCCTCCGCTACAGATATCACTGGGGCACCAACCTCGGCTCCATTTTCGTCCTCGAGAGATGGCTCTCAGGCTCCATGTTTGTCTCCTCTGCCAACGGAGACAGTGAACTCGCTGCCGTGACAGCAGCTGTGCAAGACCTTGGAGTCGACAGGACTAAAGCCAAATGGGAAGAACACTGGAGGAATGCAGTTAGAGAGCCGGATCTTGAGTGGCTGGTGAGAGAGGCGAGGTGTACGAGTATCAGGTTGCCGATTGGGTATTTTACGCTGGGAGAGGAGTGGTGTCGAGGAACGCCGTTTGAAAGCGTCGGGTGCGTCTATCGGGATGCGTGGGAGGCTGTTAGGGACTTGGTCGCGAGAGCAAGAGGGTGGGGGATTGGGGTTTTGCTGGATTTTCATTTTGTTTTTGGGGGTGCTAATGGAGAGGCTCATGGTTGTGGGGATGGGAGGGCGGATCTATGTAAGCCACGGGGGCTCTACTTCATGATCTATGAGGCGGGACTTGGCTAATTCTCTGCTTATAGGGGGCAACAAGAATAACAGGGAGAGGTGTAAACAGGCTTTGGGGTGGATTGCAAGCCAAGCGAAACAAATGGATGGCGTCGTAGGCATTCAGATCGTGAATGAAGCTACCCATAACGCCTCCGGGATGTACCAGTTCTACGAAGAAGTTATCACGGAGATAGCTAGATATGACGAGAGTATGCCCGTCTATATCTCAGATGCCTGGGATCTGAAAACAGCATTAGACTGGACCACCAGAAGACACCCTTTCAGTCGAGCACCGAAGAATCCGGTTCTTATTGACACGCACCGCTACTACACTTTTAGCGACGAAGATCGAAGAAAGAGTCCCCAGCAAATCATTGGAGCCATTGGTGCCGAATTGGGGGAGCTTGACGGGAAAGAGGGAAGTCTGGGAGATAGAGGAGAGGCACAGATTATCATTGGCGAATGGAGTTGCGTCCTTGACGACCAAACATGGAGTCGTGTTCGACCCGAACAAAAGGATGACCTAGTCACCCAGTTCGGACGATGTCAGAGTCAGAAATGGCAGAAGAGATCAGGGGGGAGTTATTTCTGGACTTACAAAATGGACTGGATGGATGGTGGAGAATGGGGCTTTGTCGAACAGAGTAAAAAGCACAATATTGTCCCACCACCTTCTTTAACTCTACCTCTCCAGGAAGTCCGAAACAGACTTCAGCACGCGGGGGCGCAGAGACAGCAGATGGCTGATAGTGCGAGACAAAGCCATGAGAATTACTGGAACCAGACCGCTCCAGGAAAGCCTTTTCAGCATCAGCTCTTCAGTGATGGGTGGGATATTGGGTTCTCAGATGCACACATGATCTTTGGGATGCGATGTGAGGGTGCTTTGGGTCCGCGACCTGCTGCCGGTGAGGGTGGAGATAGGATCGGTTGCTTGGAGATCTGGGTCAAAAAGAGGCTTTTGGAGTCGGGACAACGAGGAGAGTTTGTGTGGGAATGGGAGCAGGGTCTTAGAGCTGGGGTGGGTGATTTCAACCAATGTGTTGGTATGTGACAGGACAGAAACTTTTGCGGCGAAGCGGCGTTCATCCCAAGATCTAGACGAGGCTCTCTCTTTGTTACCCAGGGAAAAAAGCAAGCAAGAAAGTCATCATGGGTGGCCGTGCTCAATATGGCAAAGTGCATTGGAAGTATTTTGACACTGACATTGACTTTTGACTTGTTGTTGTTGACCTTCTTAGCGAGGGCAAAAGGGGGTGGGGGTAGGTAGTAAGTATTTTTATTTATAACAAGCTTTTGCCCTTTCCCACGTTCCCAACACTGCGCCCTGAGTGGACGACACTTTCGATCACCGCAACACCAATCAGTGGGAGCACGCGACAATATGAGCCACCCCCAGAGGATGGTGAACTCGACGTCGCAAGGCGTAAGGCGCAAGGCGACCACGGTCTGAAGTCGAGAAAAGAAGGCAAGTTATGTGAGTGAGGACGGACGGCCATCGTGAAGAACCTCCTCGTTCTAGTCGTCGTCCTCGTCTCCGTATCTTCTTCAATTCCTCCCTCTCTCTCTCCCTATCCCTCTCCCTCTCCCTCTCCCACTCTCACTCATGCCAATCGTGACTGGATATCCCTATACATAGTCTGCGGGGGTACCTACCTACCTACCTAGCTACCTAGCTACCTAGCTACCCACCTACCTACCTACCCACCTACCTACCCACCTACCTACCTACCTACCTATACCTTACTACTTACCCTGAACCCGGCAGAACAGTTGATCGCGATGCCTCGTCCAGCCCAGCCTCCGACACCTGCCTCGTCGACAGAGATCAAGTCGAAGGACGGCTCACAATTCTGCTCTCTGCAAATGGCATTCGAGCTCCCCCCTCCGGCTGTCGCAGGCCCCGAATCCCAACAGCGTTCGAGTGCCTCTTCTGTAATGTTGGCCTCCGCCTCCTCATACTACCACCCCGCCTCGCCCACGTCTCCTGCGATTCCTTCGATTCCAGTAAGCGAGGTGGTCAAGATTCGTCGGCGCTCATCTGCTGCACAGCCTCTTGCCGCGAAAGACGCCTTTGCACTTCCTCCCCCACCAACAAGATCCCGCAAGATCATTCAAATGAAGCCTCGAGTTCAACGAGAGGAAGACGAGCAAGTCCATAAACCATCGAAACCATTAGCGAGTAAAGCTGCTGCCGCCCCCTCCAAAAAGAAGCAGCCGTCGTCTACGAGTGCTACGGGCAGGAAGATCGCCAGAAAGACGGCACATAGTCTCATTGAGCGCCGACGGAGGTCTAAGATGAACGAAGAGTTTGGTATATTAAAGGATATGATCCCTGCTTGCACGGGAGAAATGCATAAGTTGGCTATCCTGCAAGTAAGTGCCTCGAAGCGATTCTACGACTGCCAGATGCTAACACTGACTCAGGCATCCATTGACTACGTTCGTTATCTTGAAGATTGCGTTGCGAAACTCAAGGCGGAAAATAATCGAACGAATGCCACTCCGACCGCCGAAGACTCCGTCCTCCCTCCACCAGCCAGCCGAGGCGTGCATCAAACTCCCAGGCAATATCATTCGTATCAAGAGCAAGAAGACGTAGAGATGGGAGACCCAGAGCAGGCCTCGCCAGGCTGTTCTACGCCTGTCGTCCACCCCAATCGTACATCTGCTTTTGCACCACCTATGCCCCAAGATGCCCCGACTCGCCAGGATTCATACTCGTCTGTCTCGACTGATCATCGGCATTACAGCTTCAGCACATCTACCACAACTTCGCCAGCGCTGGGACCTGCGACTCATGGTCACGCTCGTAGCGCTGCCTCTGTCAGCTCGGCACTTAATAGCCCAGTCTTGCTACCACAACGAGATCCGGATCACGAGGCCACTGCTGCCCTCCTGATGCTCAACTCTGATCGCAGAGGTACGCACGGCAGCATCTGTGGACGAGGATTGAGCGTCCAGGACTTACTCAGTACATAGCATACTTGATCAAGAACTTAAAGCCTCTATGAATATTGTCCTAGCGTTCCGTTGGGAATAAACGGTCTTCTGCAGCTGGAGGATTTCTCTTCGCATTCCGGCATGAGTGTCATCTAAAACATGTCTTAAAATATGTCTGTACAGAACAAAATGGCAGATTAGCAACAAAGCAATCAGAGGATTTCTCGACGTGATCGGTTCGTCGAGATTCTAAATCGTGTGAGTATTAAGGCTTTATTCGGCTCCACAATACACCGTAGGGAACTCTGCTGCAAGTTATACCGACTACTGTAAGGCGCTAGTCGATGCTCACCACTTACCGTTTTGCTCAGGGCTCTCGCGAGCTCTTGATGCCACAGAGGTAAGAGCTCTTGCTGCTTGCCCCTCCAGACAAGCAGTAAGGTATCCATTTCAGTAGTCTGAGACTGCAAAGCGGTGCGCTTACAGCTCGCTCCTCGATAAAGACGGAGGTGACTGACTGACTCAATAGCAAGGCCGATCGATAACATTCGCTTCGAACCTCACCGCTCGTGGCCTAGGTGTCACAGTTCTGCAGTGCAGACAGTTTCTTGGGGTTGGCTGGCTAACTCCCCTGAGGGAGGCTTGCTGCGGACGCTGTGGTATGTACTCACGCATGGATAATATACCTGACATATAACGGTCCTTCCCGTGTAACTTGTCGATTCCACTCCCCGGCTCTCTCGTCTTCCTCTTTTGGCGATTTTCTGGGCCCAAAACCAGGCATATATGTATGAAAGCACTGCACTGGCCGATCAAGGACTGACATATATGTATATATATATATATATATATTCGTTCAATACATATATTGTATATTTGCTCATTCCAGGCTCATGATCAACTCCCTCTCTCTCCGGAGGGCGACATCTGTGCTAACTTACTGCTATGTAACATGTAACATGTACATATGGCAAATTGGTCATAAAGCACCTGACATTTACACAGCGTTATATCGTTGGTACGAGGGCCAAACAGCCACTTGATTCGAGGCCGTCGGTTGCGCAGTTCACCCTCTGTTTCCGGCATACAATTTACGGTTACACTTTGATTTCGGTCCGGTAACCCATCCTCTCTCACATACTCTCCTCCCCTTCCTAATCTCATCCCGTCTTGCCCTTCTTCACCTATCTCAAATTCGACCAAAGTTAAGAGCACTGCCCCTAAGGACCCCAGGACCCAAGGACCCAAGATGGGCACCTTCTCGGCAGTATTTGCAGTACTTCTGGATCTGTCATATACCCTTCTCGTTACAGGCTGTGTAAGTTCCCCCTCTGAGAGTTGAGAAGAGAGGAGAGAGAGACCTGAGCCCGAGGCAGCCACTGACTCAACTCCCGCCCATACAATAATGAAATACTGAATAATGTTCATAGTTCACACTCTACGTACTGGGTATCGCGTTGTACAGGCTCTACTTCCATCCCCTCTCGAAGTACCCCGGTCCTTTTCTCTGGAAGATATCCCGGCTGCCACACGCCTGGTATTGCTGTACAGGGAGGATTGCATACAAGATTACGGATTTTCACGGGATTTATGGACCCATAGTACGAATTGCCCCCGATGAGTTGAATTTTATACTCGAAGACGCATGGCAAGATAGTGAGTCTCCGTACCTTATTGGTGATAGTACCCAGAACTATCCTTGCCCCGAATATATATATACATTTTTCTTGCCAGGAATAAAGATATTGACTTAAGCCACTAGTTTACGGAAAGCCACTTCCACGAAACAGTCAGCTTAGAAAGGACCCTGATCAGTTTGTTGCGAATCCTGATGGACCCCTTGGTCTGCTACTGGAGCCCAGCGATGAAATTCATGCAAGACACAGGTTCTGTTTCTGGACCTCTATTCAGGTCAGGGCTTAAAACTAACAGCACCTAGACGTAACCTCGCCCCGGGGTTTTCCGAGAAGATACTGCGAGTACAAGAGCCCCTACTGAACAAATACTTTGGTCTTCTGATCCAAAGACTTCGAGAGAACTCTGGTAGTCCGGTCGACGTGGCCCAGTATTACGAGTTTGCTACGTTTGATATTGTGGGCGACTTGACATATGGAGAGTCCTTCGATTGTCTCGAGAAGTTGGAGGTACATGTAAGTGTTGGCTGCTGTACACGAACAAGCTTTCACTAATCGCCCATGAAGCTCTGCCTCAAACTCCTCCATACAGCAGGAAAAGCAATTGCTATCCTCGGTATAATGCAAAAGTTCCACCCACTAGACAAGATATTCCTAGCTATATTTGCACGCATCGCCCGGAAAGACGAAACAATCTTTCGAACACTGACGAGGGAAAAGCTGCTCAAACGACTCGAGCTTCCGGATCCTCGCCCAGACTTGTTCGTTCATTATCCTATTCCCATACGACGATGCTAGTTCTAATAATACGACCGCAGTATCGCCTATGTACAGAGGCATCTGGATTCAGCCGAGGGGATGACGTTCGGTGAAATTTCCGAGACGTGTGGCGTCCTCCTAGCTGCGGGATCGGAAACTACAGCAAGTCTGCTCACAGCGGTGACATTCTACCTGACAACCCACCCTTCCATCCTCAAGAATCTTACCACCGAGATCCGAAACGCCTTCAGGTCCGAGTCTGAGATCACCATAGTCAGCGTGAACCGTCTCGAATACCTCCTCGCCGTCCTCAATGAAGCCCTGCGCATACACCCCCCCGTGGGAGGCAACCTGGTTCGGATTACTCCACGCGAGGGATGCATGATCGCTGGCAGATTTATCCCGGGAGACACGCATGTAGCCATCAACCACTGGAGCGCCTCACATTCTCCCTTGAACTTCACGAGGCCCTACGAATTCATCCCCGAGCGCTGGATGGGCTCCTTGGAATTCAGAGACGATAAGAGGAGGGTATTCAATCCTTTCAATGTTGGCCCCAGGAACTGTATCGGGAGGAACCTGGCGTATGTTGAGATGAGGGTTATCCTCGCCAGGATGGTCTACAACTTCGACATGGAACTTTGCGAGCAGAGTAAGGGGTGGAAGGATCGACAGGTTATGTACTTGCTGTGGGAAAACTGGAGGCCATTGATGCTGAAGCTGTCACCGGTGGCTAGATGAAGAAATTGAGATGAGCCTGTGGTATAGATATTTGGAGATCATAACTGGATTTCGTTTTATCTCTGGCTGGTATAGTTGTCTTTTCAAAAGTAACACACTTGTAATATGAGATAGCGCAAGATCCAATCTCTTCAGGTCTATTGTTCAGTGAGATGAAGGGAGGATGAGGGCTACTATATATATCAGCGATATAGCCGGAGGTTTACGAACAGCCCTACTCTAGTATATGGTTCGTTCATCATGGAATATCGCATGTCAGCAGTAGACGGGATCCTATATCAGTTCACTAAAGTCAAGTATATTACTTCGTAGAGGGGCATGACTGGTTCCATTCTGTGAAGCCAACGTGGGTATTGCCAACCGCCGAGATTAGGGCAACCTTTCGCCTCATCAGTCTATCAAGCCCCTCCGACTACCGCTGGTACTTGGCAAGGGCGAAAATCACCACAAGTAGCCCCTGCAGCTCGGAGTCCCGCACAAGCACTTGGTCAGCTCCTTATCCTGGGCGATCGCCTCCTCCACATCCATACGAGCGTCGGTAACGCCATCCGTGTAGTCAAAGGTCAGCTCCGTCTCGCGGGGGATATCCTTGGCCGCGAAGAAGCACAGCTGGTGGAACGGCTTGTTCGCATGCGCGGTGACGACGGCGAAGATGCGCAGGTTCGGCTCGCACGAGTGGTTGATGAAACGCGTCGGGCCGGACTTGAACTCGCCGTCGATCTCGTACGGCTCGCCGCGGAGGCGCTGGTCGTAGCTCTCTCGGTCCTGGAACTTGTCGAGGGCGAACAGGTAGATGTCTTTCTTCTTCCGATCGGTGGCGGCTTGTCGGCGGCGATTGGCCTCCGCGGGGGTGATGATTTCGCCCACGTACTCGCCGACAAACTGACCGCGCTTGATGTCCTCGGTCGACTTGACACCTGTAACGAACAGCAATCAGTATGGATGAGGGAGAAGGGGTCAGGGTAGAGAATTGAAGGGTTAGAATGCTGCTCACCCCAACCGCGGCCGGATGTTGGGAAGATTTGTAGAGCGACTTTGCGGCCACGTCCGACCACCCGGTTGGGGCACTTGTCGCTGCACGTGCATTTCTCGTGGCACTCGTAGATGGGCAAGCGAGATTCGAGCATCCAGCCGCGAAGGCACCCTTTCTTGTCGCCGCTGACATGGTACGCGCCTGGCTTTCCACCTTTGGGAACGCGGTCCACATCCCCCAGACATGGATCACACATGGAGCCCATACATTGCGCATCACTTTCACACTCGCAGCCGTTCAAATATTCATCCTCCGCGAATCGGACCCCTTCAACAGGAATGCTCTTCTCGATAAAGACGAAATCCTTGGGGATTACCAGCTTCGTGTTGTCTTGGAAGATGATGGAGATTGGGTGCAACTTGTGCGAATTAAATTTTCCAAACTGGCAGTAATGACATTTCTCTTCCTGATGAGCGAGCTTTGGATCAGCTCTGCCGTGGTACAGGAAGTGGCACTTGTGGCGAAATTCCATTGGGTGTTGCGGGCTGGTCATATCGACGGTTGATTGTAATTTGTCTTATTCGTTGCGGTTCGGGGTGGGGATGTCAAGGTTGAGAAGCAGAAGCGCGTCGAGATTTGGTATTTTCAAACCCCAAAAGATGGGTGGGGCCTCGGCCTCGGCCACGGAGCTACGTATTTCCGTAAGATGCTGTAAACTTGCATGTATCTGAAGAAGAATGGCGGGCATGGACAGTTCGTGAACACTGAAGTTCGAAAGTTCCAAATGCTGCTCGCTGTGCAGGAGAGAAATCCTCGGTTAGCTTACCGAGCAAGAAAACAACTCGGTAGAGCCCCTTTTCTAAAAGTGGGTCGAGTCGGGGCTCGGGAGCTGGGCAAGGCTGCGCACGAGCCATAGGGGAAAAAAAAACTGGATTTCAATTCCTTCCACCTTATCGAGAACCCCGCCAAAAAGTTTCAGTCCAGCATTCGCAATGGCGACCGAAGTACAGCAAACGCCGTTTGTTAAACAGCTTGCTGCCAATGGTATTTATGCTCATGCTTGCTGTTCTCAAGCACTGCCTGCCAATCTGACAAAATTCCGATCCCAGACAGACCAACCCGCGATGCTGCCGTCGCATCCCTCCGCACCTATCTCTCTGGTCGGCGCGAGCTGCCTCATCTCGAGCTCATGAAGCTCTGGAAAGGCCTCTTCTACTGCATGTGGATGTCCGATCGACCGCGTACACAGCAAGCCCTCGCCAATTGTCTCGCAGACCTCGTGGCCGCGCTGCCCTCCGAGAGCACTATCCCCTTCCTGCGCGCCTTCTGGCAGACGATGCAGAGGGAGTGGACGAACATCGATGTGTTGCGCATGGAGAAGTTCTTGTTACTGACGAGGAGGTATCTGGGGGCGACCTTCAAGGCGATGGCCGAGAAGGAGTGGGGCGACGAGTTGGTGAATGCGCACATGGAGTTGTTGGCAGAGGTGCCATGTAATGTCGAGGAGGTACGGGTGCCGAATGGGCTAAGGTTCCACGTTATCGATATATATGTGGACGAGTTGGAGAGAGTGGGCGTGTTGGGGGAGGAAGGGAAGGAGGAAACGGTGGAGAGATTATTGGGACCATTGAGGGCATTGGCGAAGCAAAGCCCAACGAAGCCGGTGAGAGTAAAGGCCAAAGAGGCGTTGGAAGATGAGAGGTTACCAGGTAATGCTAAGGTGAACGCCGAGGCAGAAGAAGATGCGAAGGAGGAGGATGCTTGGGCTGGGTTCGAGGACTGATTCGTCACATTTTCACGCTTTCATGGAAATGGCCGCACGGCTATGCAAGCAAGGCGTTCAGGTCAAAAGTAAATTTAATCTACCTTTTGCTCCCTATTCAGAAATTACTCCATGCTGAATCCGCGCAAGCATTCCACCTGCTGGGTATCGGATGAAATTACACAGAACGCCCCTATATGAACACCTCCAAATTCAAACCGGGCCAGGGGCCTCGTACATATGACCAGACTTGGACAGGACCGTACCAAGTCCCTTGTGTACCTCAGCCTGGAAAGGCTGGAAGGGAATGCGCTCGCCGTCTACACTAATGAAACCGTCCTCTTGGTTCTTGGGAATAATGCGGTATCCTAAGACTTTGCGATACCAGACTGCAGGCATGTCGAAAAACTTGCCGGTTTCCACGGCGAGCAGCATCTTTATGGTTTGTATACGACTTATGTCGCCATTAATGCACACTAGGTCCATGTAACCGTCATTGGGTAAGGCAGAAGAAAAGAAGTTGGCATCTGCAGTCATGTATGCCATCTGAAAGTGTTAGCGATACGGAGATTACGCAGCGAAGACCAAAGACTTACATTGCCGCAATAGAAGTTTCCAAGTTTGTCATAGGGAACGAGCTCCCATCCTTCGGGTAATTTATCATTGACAGTCCCGTATCTTAGGAGCGGCAGGCCTTCTTCGGCGCCACTGCTTGCTGAGGCATCATCGTCCAGGAGATGTTTGTATCCCCTTCGTTCAGTCACTGGCTCGCGGTTGTTTTGTTCCTTCTTGTAATGCTCTCTGATCTCTTGCTTGTCATCAATCGCCACTTTGACTGCAATATCGCAAGGATACAGTGCCTTGTTTATCAGGCGTATTAGAAAGCCGTAAGTAAATCTTTGGCTACCCAGAAACCTGAGGTGCTCAGTTGCCAGGTCAGACTCTGCTACAATACCAATTGATTGTGACAGGAAGCTTAGCGTGCGGGTCTCTCCCTGTGTAACAGAAATCAAGTCCAAAGGGGTCGGTATGCCCTTGATAATGGCCAGCGTGGCCAGACTAGGACTGTCAGTCCCGTTGAGATTGCAGCTCATGGCATTACCACTCCCAGCTGGAATATTGACCACCGCGATTTTAGACAGCGCCTTTTTGGCATCCAATCTCTTCCCAAGGCCGTTGAACACCTCGTGGGGCAGCCCATCACCAGAAACAGACGCCACGACATCGAATGCCTCTATGTTCAGCTGCTCGGAAATTTCCACAGCCTCGCCTTTGTATTTGGTCATGACCATATCGATGGTACAGTTTGCAGCTTTCAGCAGTGGTTCCGCGTCTCGGTGATACAGCTTCCCAGCACTTCCTTTCCCACTGTGAGGGTTGACCAGAACTTTCACTCGTTTCCTCGGCTGTGACTCGCCATATGACCGATCTAGTAGCTTATAAACCCACTGATTCACAACTTCCACCATTTGGTGCCCCACGGCGTACTTCAAAGTGGCGGCACGGACGATGGTCTCCGATACAGGTGACGCATACTGCAGAGCAAGTTCGGAGGCCTCGAGTTCGGCCCAAAGGACATTGTAAAATGGAATCGCACGAGTATTGGCGGAATCTGCAAAATTGGTCAGCACGATATCATAATATAATCCGGATGCATCAGGAGCATGTACCGGATGAGCAAAGCCCGCACCAATTGCTGTCGTCTCTCCCCTCAAAGGCTTTATCTGCCAGCGATCATTAGACAGAATGCAGACCTAGGTTAAGTACAGGCCCACCTAGGACAATAAGAGAGTCTGTCCCTAAAGTTAGAGAGACGTCTTTGCCCAGTGTCAGGGTTGCCTCCCTGACGAACGAGTTACCATGAGCTGCATCTTCGAAGGAGGTAGCAGGGTCGACAAAGGGATTGTCGGAGGGCATAAGTGTAGTCGTCATGTCGTCGATTGCCTTGATACCCCCAGCATGCTTATCGAAGACAGGTGGAGGGATGACGATGAGAGGATTGTGGTTGTAATTGTGGTTGCGGTTGTGGTCGAGGTGGTGAATGTGAACGTGGATGTGGATCTTTATCCAGGCGGCCGGATGGTTCGCCCAGAGAGTTTAATACGTATAAACTTCGCTTCCCCCCAGGCCCTATTTATATATAGAATTACTACTACCTATCCGACCGGTAACCGTGCGCAAAGAAGCTGTCGGCTACTCTCATTTACACAACTATAAATGTGTGTCGAAGGACCCTGTTTGCGGCGCCGAGTCTCGAGTAAACAATGAGATCATTTGTGCGATAGTGATACACCTATTTACGAATATATACATACCTAGGCCGACTCGGATGCGATCTTACCAATCTTCATGCATGCATGGACAATCCCAAGAGAATCTCATGAAGCTTTGTTGGCTTTCAATCCAGATTTCCTTCGAAATGCCGATTGTATAATTTCCACCATGACTTCCACGCGACGAACCCCTGGTGGTCTTCTCACATTTGCAACGCACATCTCATTCCTCGACACGGAGATCAAAACTATTGATTGCAAATGCCCCTGTGGATCTAGAAAACTCCTGTCTTGGCTTTTCAGCGCCAGTCATGATTATCTGCAGTAGAGCATGGCCAGATCCACATAGCTCATACCAATATTCTACGCCTCTTGGTTGCGTGTCTGCTTCGGCTAGACCAACCCCAACTTTCCATCTCTCAACAATGGGAAGTACATAGTTGCCTAGCAGGTCATGAATAGTGATCCGCATTACCTAACTTTCCATCCTCAATGTACTGTCCCCCAACTCAGGCGACTTCGCCGACCTTGTTCAAGCCTTTGAGCGACCCGAGACTCAGTGCAAGACCTTGTGACCTGCTGCGAATACGGACAAAGCCGGTAACTGGACCGTCTTCACCCTCCTTCTCGATACTCAAATTTGCAAGTGCATCCTCACCTAGTTTTAATTAGTACCCATTCATGGATCGATTGAAAGACGCAAGAGCTTACCAAAGACGCTTCGAGCGTAGAGATTCGCACTCAGGAATTGACAATCGCCCTTGAGCGAAGCCTCCGGGGTCAAGCAGCTCATGTTTGTGCTTGCCATTAGTTGCGTGAGGAACTCGCGTAATGACTTGGCTTTGGAGTTGATGTTGACCTTGTTCTCCCACTCAAACTCGGTCCACATGGTTCGGAATTGCGTCTCTGTGCAAATCGCAGGTTGGATGTAGTCCATGATATCGACGTGAACATCATTCAGGATGACAACACTGTTCTCGGTAGAGCTGGCACCATCATACACGACGTTACCAAAGATGACTCCCGTATCTGTCGACGATACCTTGATGGTGGCCTGGACGTTCTGGAAATCGTGTGGACCTAGGTTCTGGGTAGTTGGTCTTTCAACTACCTTCAAGTCTCCTAGTGTGGCGAACTCTACCGACAGATTTTGAAGAGTCTCAGTTGTCTGATTCACCAAAAGAACATCGAGAACGATATCAAATTGGTGGACCTTGACATATGCTTCGGCGTAGACTGGATCGGAAAATCCTGTGAGTTGGACAACTCTGCTTAACTTTGAGGTCAAGTCTTCAACTGCTGAGTCTCCACCTGTTGCCTTCTCAAGATCAAGCTCTATCTCGTCGGTTCCGTCGCCAGCGTTCTTCTTTGCCAGTTGTCGGATAGAGACAACATCATCGACTTGGACCGCGGTCTTGGCCTTCTCGACGGCTTCCTTGGCCGCTCTTCTCTTCTCTTCCACCTGAACCATGGCGCGGAAAGCCTTCCGGGTGTCATCCAAGAAAACAGTCTCTAGCTCTTTATTTTGTGCGAATTCGGCGAGGGAGCGGACACACGTCATGATTCTATCCACAGAGTCTTCGTCAATGGGAGCTTTGACGAATTGTGACTGACCAACACGGATGATAGAGATCATGATTAACATGGCTTCAGCACGTAAAGCGTTCGTTCGAGCCTTGTCTGAAGATATTTCCGAGTGACGCATCACAAGCTTGGTCAGAGTGGATGAGAGAACAGAGGCGAGGTAGTAGTCCCCGTCGAGAATGAGTTGTCGAAGAGGCGGCTTTTGGGCCGCTTTGACGGCTTCTAATTTGGCTGCCACTGCTGACTTACTGGTCAGGGCGCTTTCTGTCGCGTAAGTGCCATCGGCAAGAACTCTTCTAGATCCAGTTGGCGCAGCTTTGGGATGCCCGTTGACTTGCTCTGCTTCCTTGGCCGGCTCCTGTCCATCCGCTACTTCATCCAACAGTCTTTGTTCCGATGCCAGAATTGGGATCTCTCCTAAACTAGCTCGTATCCTCTTCCAGGCATCTCTGATGTCATTTGCTTCGAGAGAGTACTCTCCCACAACCCAAAGTGCTCCACGATAAACCTTTCCGGCACGCACCTCACTCAAAGTGGACACCAAGCGCTCCACGATCGATGGGCGGAGGTTTGGGAACTTCTCTACCACTTCCTTGACAAAGGAGATTACATCCACAGCCGAAGTATTGTTGAAGTCAGCAATGAAGTCCATTAGCAGGTCAACAACACTGGCGGCCACTTCCGAGAACTTGATGGCGCATTGGTGGATGGAATGGATGAGCAATTGGCGGTACTCGTTATTCTTCTCGTATTCTTGGTCAACAGTCTTCGACAGCTCCTTCTTCAGGAGGAGGACAACTTCCTCTACGTTCTTGCTAGAGACCATCTCCATAGCAATTTCCAGGGCCTTTCTCCGGACGTCAATATCAGGACTCGACAAGACTCGAAGAATCTCCATGATGAGATCGTCCAAGACACCCTCGTTCTTCTGTCTCAGCACATTCACGCGGTCGAGTACGATCAGCTTGACATTGTTGTCCGCCTCCTTAATACTGAGTTCGATGAACTTCGCTGCCGCAGCTTTGACAGCCACAGGGTTGCTCGTCAAGGCAGTCAAGGAAGAGGCAGCTTCGTATACGACTGTGGTCGCACCGGCTTCCAAAAGATCAAAAATGAGACGCAGATAACGAGCCTGTAGCGAAAGTTAGTAGATGTCGAGTCGTCGGAGCAACAATTCTCACTTTGTTCTGAGAGTTCTGGATCGCATCTTTCCGAATGAACTCCAGCTCGACCAATTGTAGAAGTTCGTCGGCGTTTGGAATTCCGTCAAATACACTGCTCAGATACGCCAAAGATTTATCGTGGCTGACGCTGACCAGCGCTGCGAAAGCATTCCTCTTGCAGGTATGATCGCTTTCGGCCTCCAAGAAAGCGGCTATTAGTTCAGGGGCATCTGGGATAAGACTCTCCGAATGTTGGTATATCGATGCGATCGCGAGCACGGCATTTTTTCGGACGTATGCGTGGCGATGCTCGAGACAGCCGCGGGCGGAAGAGAGGAGAGGTTCGATGAGCTCGGCTTCGCGCAGTTTGCAGAGAAATCTTAACGTGTTGCCTCGAATAAATTCGTTGGGATGCTGAAGATCATTGCGGATGCCGTTGCTGTACATTTTTTGTAAGAAAAGGCAATCCCTCGCATTGGGGTCGTAATGCGCTTACCAGACGAGGATCATCTCTTGCTTGAGCTTACCGCTAGCATCATGCTTGGGGCATATCTCGTAGTAGAAATATAGCAGCTTTTTCAGAGCCTTATGCTTCGACGGCATGACGAATCGGATAATGTACATGAGGAGTTGCGGCATCGGGTCGCCATTCAGCATGACCGTCAGAATGCGCTTCATAGTTTCCACCTTACTCTCATCTGTCCCTTTCTCCAGCTGAGTCCGCAAATCGGACATGGTGGGTACGTCGGCGGCATTGTCTTGGTGTACCAAACTGTACGAGCTCTCCAAGAAGGAAGCCATGATGGCGAACTTTTCGGCGCAGACCGCAAAGGCAAGGGAGATTGCGATTGGATGTATTTATTAGGAGTTGGCCTTGATGCTATGAAGATATCGAGTATGCTCGACGAGGTAGGCTGGTGGTTGGGGGTAGATGTGGTGGTAGTGGACTGGCTCGGGCAGGCCAGGCGCGATCAAATCGGGAGTTCGAACAGAGAAAAGGATGTTGTCAGTAGAGCAGGACAAAATGGTTACGGTGATATCCCTTAGCGCAGGGGAGGAGACGGGTAGAGTGGAGGAGGAGAGAAGAGGAGGTGAGAGGACGAGATCGTAAGTGCAGATGTTGCGCACATCAACCGAATTGAACAGAATGGCCGGATCTCAGAAGTTGAAGCAAAGGTCAGGTTATTCCACCCCCGTCCCCGTTCCGCTTAGAGCTAGCTCAAGCATGGGTGGGCCCCGTTCTCCACTTCACTCCACTCCACCCCACCCCTTCTCATTCCACTCCGCTCCGCTCCGCTATATTCCACCTGAGAGTCGACCTAGTTCAGCCTCAGTTCAGCCTTGCTCGACCCCTCCACACAGCTCAAGACTACACCACACAACTCAATATGGCTGCTTCCAACGAGCCATTCTACATCCGCTACTAGTAAGTCTATCCTTATCTCATCCGCTCCAAACAAAACTGCTTTGGATACTTGCTAATCCCTTTCTCCTTTCTTTCCTAGCTCGGGACACCAAGGACGACACGGTCATGAATTTCTTGGTGAGTGGCCGTGGCTGTGGCCGTGGCCGTGGGAGCCCCAACCGTGGCCCTAAGATCTAATTTTCTTCATTCAATCAGAATTCGACTTCCGAGTCCTAGGAGACGGAAGAAGCGCTTCTGCCCGATATGCCAACAACTCCAACTACCGAAATGATTCCCTCATCCGCAAAGAGAGTATGTCAATATCACCCCCTACCCTGGCCTGCTTTGCACTGGCTCCTTGAAGATGAGCTCGACTGATATGGGGCATCTTGGCAGTGTGTGTGAGCTCCCTCATGGTGGATGAGATCAAGCGCATCATTAAGACGAGCGAGATCATGAAGTACGTACGCATCGATTGCTTTGCCTGGATGACATTCCTCTCATGCTTTTACAGGGAAGATGATAGCAAGTGGCCACAGAAGAACAAGGATGGACGTCAGGAGTTGGAGATACGACTGGGAAGCGAGCACATCTCTTTCGAGGTATGCTGAAACTTTCTATTTCTGTGGTGCTACTAGTTTGATAACCGGTCCATCTCCAGACCGCTAAGATCGGCTCCCTCGTCGACGTTACCGACTCTCAAGACCCCGAGGGCTTGCGCGTATTCTACTATCTCGTCCAGGATCTCAAGGCGCTGGTGTTCTCTCTGATAGCTCTGCATTTCAAGATCAAGCCTATTTGAGGGAGGGATCCTGCAGCAAAAAATGGTGCGGGTCCGGCGTGTCGGCGTTGCTTGTACAGTTGTACACCGAAAGGGATACCATAGAACCTGGGAGCAAGTGGCGTTGAGACTATGAGAAGTACTATTCGTCTCCCTTCTCACACGATTGCGACCCAAAGCTATTGTCAATTCTACAAGCTCGAAGTATAGGCGTGCATGACGACGCTGTTCATACTTTTTTGTCCAGACATATGCTATGATGACGACGCTATTTATTGTGCATCATTCATCACAAAGCAGAGGCGGCCCCAAGTAGGGCTACCGTGGCTGACAATTGTATGTCACACTGTATCTATATTCATTTGGTTTTTCCATCTATACCTCATATCTCATACCTTGTACCCAGAGGTCTTGTAGTATGGTACATGCGACGCGAGGAATGAATGGGGCTCTCGGTCTTGGCATTTTTCGAAGCAAAGCCAAGCTAGCGAGGATGCCGATGCCGACGCCTCAATCACTCATCTCGCAATCCAGACCCGAGCAAGTTCCAATCCATCCTCCTCGCCTCCTTTCGCTGCCAATCCGTGAACATGAGCTTCGCTACTCAAACGGTTCACATTTAATTTCCGTCACCAGTCTCTTTCTCTTCGCTCCCTGTATCATCAAGTTACCTCTCCTGTTGCATCCCTAAGCCTGGCCTGCGGGCGTTGAGACTTTCAATGCCCACACCCTCCCCGTCCAGCAACGACAGCATCGTTGCAGCGACTTCACAACAGTCCTCATGCCCACCCGACCATGACAGACTGAGCTGGCGGGCTGAGAATATGAATGGAACCCACGATGAAGTGACCGTGACGGCACGAGAAGTTCTTCAACAGCCTACTCCTCCACCAACAGAATCGCGGGCTGCCGATTCAACGGATACACACATCGCAGAACACCGCAGCACCAAACGAATGGACATGGATGAAGATACTAGTGGGCCGGATATGCTGTCGCCCATGAGTGCTGAGGGCGATAAGCAGGAAGAGAACGAGCCCGCATTGTCGGATATAAACTTGGGGCCTCCGTCTATGGGCTACGACTTCTCAAATATACGAGTACGCCCCTCTACATACTGCTAGGTAATGTCGAATACTCATCTGGGTCTTAGCTCCTTCCATCCTCTCCGTCCTCTTTTCTGCGCGCTGGAAGCAAGTTTCACGGGACTCAGCAATCCGAACGCCAGGTCTACGATGTACAGGTCGAAATCAAGCATGTAGATATGAGGGAGTCATTTTTGTGTGGATACCTGCGGATCCAGGGTAATAAGAACCACTCTTCACTGACCTTTCTTTGCATGGCTCCCAGGCTAATCCCTTCGCATAGGATTAACGGAAGACCACCCGACACTGACTACGTATTTCGAAGGGGAGATAATTGGATCTAAATACACTTTTCTCACAAAACATCAGGACTGGGGATCAACCGATAAAGTTGATTTACAACATTGGGCCAAGTTCTCAGCTTTTCGGCCCTTTCGAGACAAGGCAAAGAAAGGGCACCTACATATCCCGCAACTCGCACAACGAGAAAACATATTCATGAGATGGAAGGAACACTTCCTGGTTCCGGATCATCGAGTGCGGACAATAAGTGGTGCTAGCTTCGAGGGTTTCTATTATATCTGCTTCAACCAGATACATGGGACTGTCAGTGGGATATATTTTCACGCCAAAAGTGAGAAGTAAGTCGTATTTTCGCAATGGAGTTAGAGTCCGAAGACTGATTTATGTTCAGGTTCCAGCAGCTAGAGCTGAAGCATGTCGAGGATAGGGGCTGCTTTGCAGCAATGGAGTTTCGATGAGTGATGATCAATGAATACATACACATGGCGCGATTTGGAAAGGGACTGGTCTGTCCGATCTTCCAGGAAGGGAGCCGCGGCTTGTACAGGAGGCATGGCATCTGGGTCTAAATACGAATGCAAAAATGCCCTTGAGGGAGGACAGCGTTCAAGGAGTTTTTGTTGCTTTCAAGGGTGTACCTCGCAGGAGACAAGATACTATATCTATATCGTAGTTTGTTTGTGAATACCAAGTTCACGTCCCGAATCTCAAGTATCCGGAGTGCATAATAGTATTTGTTCTTTATAGGCGTGCTCATCAGGGAGTAGTGTGATATTGCTTACTCTGTAGATCAGGAAACGAGTACGAGAATACCCGATTCTACAACTGCTCGCATCCCTTTCGCTCCTCTCTCCACAAGGCAAGCGAACCTGTACAACGACATCGACGACAACAACAACAACAACAATAACGACGGACGATAACAACAACAACCACAACAACAACAACAACAATCACAACAACAACAATTAATCGTGAACTTAAACTCTGCAAACGTGACCACCATGGATTTTGCCCCATACCAAGATGAGAATCCCGAAAGTAACCGCGCCCTATCCCCCCCACTTGGGGGGCGCCGTTCCTTCTCCCCAAACGAAGGCCGCCGCTCATACTCCCCCGCCATCCCCAACAACGCACCCCGACTGACAGCAACCCCCTGGGCTCCCCGAGCCTCCACCGACGAAGCCGTTTCGCCGCAGGGTTTTGGGAATAGCGGGAATGCAGGCCGAGATGTCGAGGCGGGACGGGGCAGGCTAAACGAATTCGAGACGAGCTTACCCATCCGGATGGATTTGGAGGCATGTTTGGCATACCTGCTACTACCTCCTGCCGGAGGTGTGCTCCTTTTGCTATTCGAGCAGAAAAGTGATTATGTTAGGTGAGTGTTGGTTGGATCCATGGCGCGAGGGCGGGTGGAAGGGACAATTGGGGCAGCCCGATGCTAACAGCTATGGTACATGGTATAGGTTCCACGCCTGGCAATCCTCGCTACTATTTTCAGCATTATTCGTCCTACATCTGATCTTCTCCTGGTCATCTTTTCTCTCCTGGCTTTTCTTCATTGGAGATTTGGGACTCATAGGCTACCTAACATCCCGAGCGTATAGGGATGGTTAGTCTTCCACTCCACAGGTGCTACATGAATACTTACGGTCTATAGCGGATATGCTGGATCGATACCAAGTGCCTTTCTTTGGCCCTCTTGCGAACTCAATTCTGGACGACGAGTAGTCCTATGACGGAGCTGCATTCGGATTTCAAGATACCCTTCATTTTGCGCGAACTTGCAATTGCGAGTGTACTCTACTTGTTTTAGTCTGCGGCCGGATAGACCCACTATGGTAGATGACATTCTTTTGAAGATACGGGAGATAGTACGATTCGAAGGCCATGAAGGGAGAAAGTCCCAAAGGTAGCAAGAATGGGAACTACTTGTTTGCTATGCACGACCCTTTGCGAGGTGCCTTCGTGTGTGAGGTACAACATCTAAATATCCAATGCGGAAAAGCTAAAATGGACAATGCGAATCTTCAATTCTTAGATTTCTGCGTCCTGATACGGCCATAGCCTTGCAAAGAGTTCCCTTTCCGCCTCATCATCAGCATTCTCAACCAACGAAGTCCTGAGCTCGGCTACAACAGCACGTATCTGATCGGATTGAGCTGGGTCCACCATCCGTTTGGAGCCAGACCTTAATTTTCTCGAAAGAGCCTTAATGTTAGAATAAGAAATTCTTACACTATAAGGTCTGTGCTGTTGCTGCTAAGCAACTCTTAAAGAGATAGATAATAACTGCTAGTTGAAAAAAGGAATAGCTAGTTAGCGTAAAAAGAGAACTGTATACAGTTCTCTTTCTTTCTAAAAGGATTCATTCTTTTTTAGATAATCGAAACTAATATAATTGAACTACTTTTTGCTTTTTATTACCAGGGCAGAGGACCAAGTTCTCTGTAGTGTCACCAACGGGCTAATTACTAATTTGTATATTATTAAATTAGATTTTTATAAAATTAATAATTAGCCCGTTGATAATATTATATCGGACTTTATCCTTTGCTAAATATCAAACTTATTAAATAGATCGTAAAATAAAAGTAAATATATATAAAAGTATTATTATTGTTATTAACGGTGACCCAAGATAAATTCTAGTAGTTGTAATAGTGATGAGTAATCTAGGAGTTATAATGGTAGTTAGTCATTTAATCACGTAAGACTATTTTATACCGGTCTAGCAGGATTTTTAAGCGTGCTAAGACTTTTATTTTATGTTAATCTATTGAACTTTTTTCGGAACGGGTCGGCCCGTTTAATTTATATATAACAGCTAAACCTAATCGGGATAAGTAGCTTAGCAGCACGCGCAGTACTTTATAGCATTTGCACGTATTAATTACGTATTTACCTTTTTCGTTTCTTATCACTTACTTAAGTATTATTGCAACTTCTATTAATTTACAATAAAGACTTTCGTATTTATACTTAAACGCGATATATACTTAAGAACACCTTTCAAATTATTATATTATTTTAAGATTATAGTCAAAGTAAAATATTCGCTTTTTGCAATGATTATAAAGCTAAAAACAAAGCATTTAAATCTGCATATAAAGCAAAGCATCTTTTATTTCCGTTTAATGACGATCACGATCTACTAGCAAAAAAGCTTCGCGGCCGACCTCGGCGCGCTTTAATTGCAGCTTTTCTTTTACGAGCTTCTTTACGAAAACTACGCTCTTTACGATATTTACCAGTAAAGCCTAGTCACTTTCATTTTACGTAACGTACTTTTCGCAAATACTCTTATAAATTATCTTTTCTATTGCGGCGTACCTTAAACAAACTACCTTTTTTACGCGATCTTGCAGTTTGGCTTAGCTCGCTTTCGCTTTTTTTTATTACGATATACGCGTAAGCTTGCTCGAAGTAATAGCATAAATAGTTTTAGCGGAGATACATATAATAGTTCTATACGTAAGCTAGCGCTAAGTAGCATAAGTAAGTCCTTTTAGCCAAGTTATTAAAGTTATTAAAGTTATTAGAGTTATTAAAGTTATTAATATTATTAAGGTTTCGATTCTACGGCTTAGCGCGTTTAAGATTTAAGTTTCGGCGAAGATATATATAATTTTATACGCGAGATTGCTTAAAGTAGCACAAGTAATAGCATAAGTAAGTCATTTCAGCTAAGTTACTAAAGTTATTAGAGTTACTAATATCATTAAGGTTTCGATTTTACGGCCTAGCGCATTTAAGTTTTAAGTTTTGTTAAAAGTTTATATAAAAGTACATATGATAGTTTTATGCGTAAGCTTGCTTAAAGTAGTAATATAGCTAGATTTAGCGAGGATACACACGATAGTTCTATGCGTAAGCCTAGCGCTAAGTAGTATAAGTAAGTCTTTTTAACTAAGTTATTAAAGTTACTAAAGTTATTAGAGTTATTAATATTACTAAGGTTTCGATTCTACAGCCTAGCGCGTGCAAGATTTAAATTTTATTAAAAGTTTATACCAGGGCAAAGGACCAAGTTCTTTGTAATGTCACCAACGGGCTAATTACTCGATTATAAAAATCTTCATATATTTAAGTAAATTATAAAATAAATAACAATAAAAATTAAATAAATATAAAGGTAATAACGTAAGAAATAATTTATTTAATAATTTATTATAAAAAAAAACTTTTTCAAAACGTCTTTTCTACCGGAAAGACCTTAAACCCTTTTACAAATTACTTATATTTAATAATTCAATATAAGGGGGAGACCCCTTAAACCCCCCTTTTTATTAAGGAAATCTTATACTCTTTTGCGAATTACTTATA